CTGTACAGGTGAGATGTCTTAGATTTGCTTTAAAATACTCAGAATACTTACCAAAGAGAAAAAAAAAAACAAAAAACAGGTGGGTAGCTAGGTAAAATTAGATAGGCAAAATGTTGATAATTGTTGAGGCTGGGCATAGATACACGGGGGTTATAAAAGTCATTTTGCTTTTGTGTACGTTTGAAATTTTCCATAATAAAAGGGTATAATCTATGGAGTACATTTACTTTATTATTTTAACATTTATTTATTTTTGAGACAGAGAGAGACAGAGCATGAACAGGGGAGGGGCAGAGAGAGAGGGAGACACAGAATCGGAAACAGGCTCCAGGCTCCGAGCCGTCAGCCCAGAGCCCGACGCGGGGCTCGAACTCACGGACCGAGAGATCATGACCTGAGCCGAAGTCGGACGCTTAACCGACCAAGCCACCCAGGCGCCCCTCTATGGAGTACATTTAAAGTTTCACATGCTAGCGGCAAAACCCTGACCCCAGCTTAACACAGCCCTTGGTGGGCTATGTGGAACCGGAAGGGTTAATAACCCCCTAGGCAGGTGCAAATTTCCAGGAGTGAGCTCCACCCCAGGCCTATTCTTTTCCACCAGCCCTCTGGCCTTTGCTCTGAGGTACATGCACTCCTCCTTCCTCCGGAGAGGGGACTTCCTGCTACTTAGTTATGGGGTAGTCTCCAACTGGAGAATGCCACCTGATCACCTTGTCGCCTTGGGGATCAAATTACCCTTTTGAGAACAGAAAGACTTAAAGGAACTGAGCTGTGGTCATCAGAGTCTTACTTGGAGAGTCTCGTTCCAGGGCCGAACTTTGAAGGCTGTGGGTTTCAGTTTGTTAAGGGCAATGGCTATTTGCTCTTGGGCCTGATATTCCACTTTGACAAATAATTTAATGACAAACAGGGCAAACTTGTCTGTAAGAGGCCCTGGTTTCCTGGAAGGGCCCTGCTCCTTGGCACATAAACAGAATTAATTTATCTAATGAATGTGCTGCCACTTTGCACCCCTAGGGAAGCAATATGTGCTGTATATAGGCCAGATGCCCTTCGCTGAGAGAGACCAAGGGCAGTCCATGCTGGGTACGTGGGGGCACAGTCTGGGCTCTCCACAGGTGACCGAAATGTATTCCTGTCTCCAAACGCTCCCCTTCCATTGTACCTGAAATTCCACCATTAGCTTCACTCCCCTGCATTAAGGTGGTAACAGTTTCCCAGATTCTAATCCTTTTTGTTCCGCATGAGGGAAAGGGGGAGGGATGTGTTTCTAAGGGGTCTAAGGCCTCAGGAGGTGTGCACTTTGCACAATCGGTTTGCTTTTGAATTTTTCTTAAGGAATCTTAGTTGTTTAAAGCATTCATCAAGGGTGGGGTTTTAGGTCTCGTCAAGAGTAATTACCTAGTGTGTGAACTTGATGTGGGGCAGAACACAAGGTCATCATCCTGGCAGGTGGAAGGCTGTAATAATCCAGGAAGGAGGGCCCTTTATGGGTGTGGTTCTGTTCTTGCCTTGGCCGGGAGCCACTGATGACGTCAGAAGGCGATCCCTATGAGACAGAGTGAACAAAACTGACCTCCCAGGTATAGGGGGCAGTGGATCTGTACTAGTAGGGCCCGAGTTTCGGGGCACTCAGAGAGGTCAACTATCTCACCTCTGAGTTCAACAAGGACTCATGAACCTACTTTGCATGGTGGACACTACTCGTTGTCTACCCAAATTCAATCTCCCATTTGTCCCAAATCATTGGATGGTAGCTCATCATGTGGTTGCTCAGCCAGAGACTACCTTTCCCAGCCTCCCTTGTGGGTAGGTGAACCATGTGACTCAATGGATGATAAAAGGAGGTGATGCATGCTTCCTTCCCGATCCGGGCTGTACAACTTCAGGTGTGTGCTCTAACATGCTCTTGTCTCTTCTTCCCATCACCTGGGACCCAAATGTGTCCGTGACCCAGCTGTGGCCTTGCAAGCAAGGTAAATGTCTTAGGGGCTATGGGAGCAGTATGATGGAAAGAGCCAGGGTCCCCGATTGTGTGGAACAGAGACACTTGCCAGCGTGGACTGCCTACTTGGAAGCTGTTATGTAAGAGGGAGAGCAACTCATGTTCTTTATGTACCCATGTAGTTAGAAAGGGATCTTTGTTACAGTGGCTACACCCTACCACATACCCACTGTAGTGTATATACCCTTCTTTTCACATACACATTCTCTAGGCAAGATTGAGAAGGCATGGCATAATTATTCTGATCTGTCTCTTGATCTCTCTCAGTTTGTGATCTATCCATCCATCCATCCATCCATCCACCCATCCATTCATCCATCCATCCATTCATCCATCCTGTCCTTATCCAGGACCTAACACATACCCACCACAGTAGATGCTCAGTACCAATTTGTAGAATGAACGGAAGTCAGACTGTTATGGAACCAGGCTGAAATGCTGGTGGAAACACCAAGCGGCACTCGGAAATCTGGATGGATCAGAGATTTATTTAACAACGGTGGGCTCAGAGGAGACCATTTCTCCAAAGGTCTGAGCGCCGAATGCAAGCGGGGAGGGTAATTATTATAGTTGTCAGCTGCCATATCTGTGGGGGCTTTCGCGCACGGCAAACAAAGGAAGAAGAACATGGAGGAGGGGTCTCTGTGCTAGAGACCAGAGTTTGTTTTAGCCCCATCAGTCATCTTCGGCATACTTTATTCACTTCTCCAACTTTCCCCCCTTTGATGCCTTTTAAAAAAACTTTTAGTAGGCATCAACTTTTAGTTTTACAGGTTGGTACTCTTGGAAGGCTAAGATACGTGCAGTAGTTTGGCCAGCAACAGTGTTTTCAATAAAACGTACCATGGCGTTCAATATACAGGGGCCGATGGATACAAGTAAAATTATGGAGAGGAGGGGCCCCACCAGGGAAGGAAGCCAGGATGCCCAATCTATGAGATCCCATACTTTTTATTGATTGATACTTTCCTGTTGTCTATGTTGAATTCTTTCCTTGAGTTCCTTACCCTTAGTTGTAACTATTCCTGACTGGTTTACGAAATAGCAACAATTCCTCCCCCAAGAAAGATACAAATCCCTCCTTTTTCTGAAGTGAGGAGGTCCAGGGCTCACCTATTTTGGAGGCTCACTGCC